CTGTTCGAATTCATGGGCTGCATCCTCCAAGGACGCGGCCTAGACTGGATCCTTCTTAGTCCTTGAAAATAAGGAGACTGGAAGAGTTCTGGCTGTTAATTCGAACATGTCTACCCTTCGGCAGGTTTTTACCGCTGTAAGCTCTGTTGCTTAGCAACCGTGAAATTTGACACACAAAGCAGGAAAAGAATGAAAACCGAAGTTTTCAAAACTGTTTGTTTATTTATTTCTTTTTTTTACTGTGAAGTGAACAAAGACTACACTCACAAGAATCCAGAGTGGAATAAAGGTTCCAACCACCGGGAACAAATCAAATCAAATGAAACGATAGAAACCTTAGTCAGTTAAATAACCTGCTGCTGTCATTCTGCACATCTCTGATGTTGCTGCTATTTTCAAATATCCATTACTGTAAAAATGTCCATAGCTGCATATTGGTTATTAATTCTCCAGTTTAATATTGTTAAAACACTTTACAGGATTGTATTGTTTATATTTTAACTCTTCCCTGTTATGTTATTCTTATACATTTTTCTAAGGTCCACATTTGTGTGACCATTTTCAATAATCTTTCTGCTGCTGTAAATCTGCCCATTGCGGGACAATAAAGGAATTTTCTATTCTATAAAAGGGGTAGAGAGATATAAGTAAATCTAAACAATGTATGTATAAAAAATTTATCTGCAAAATCTCTAATATTCAACAACAAAAAATACTTATTTAAGCATATTGTGCAAAACAGCAATAAAAAGATAAAACTCCTATCAGATTTATAGTCCCCACCCTGCAGATATATTAGAATCTGTCATTAAATTCCAGCCAAACCCATTTACACAGTAACAGATTAAAACCTTTAGATAAATCAAACATTACCGCCACATATCTGACTCAATAACCATTAAAACAACTATTTTCATTCATTTCAGACGGAACTATTCACTGACTTGCATTATATTAAACTGAACTTCCAATTTTCACCACTGTTCGGCACCAAGTAACCTTTCCTCTGATCACAGCTTGCTTGGTCTCGCAATGAATCCTGGGATATCCAAGAATACCGAGGATACCTTGGACCCGTCCTTCAGATCGGGCTAAAAGAAGGACGCATTTTAAGGCCGCATAACCAGGACTCTTGGAATCCGACCAGACCTCGGCGCCGCGCTATGGCGTCATCGTCCTTCGAATCCGGCCTTCAGAGGACGCGTCCTAGGTTTTCGAACAGAGCATAATAGCTATTAACAAGTTGTCCTTTCTTTAGTCTTCTGCAGCTCCTCCAGAGTCACCATGGGCTGCTCTGCAGATCAGTGCATCTGTGGCTGTATAAGTGCTAATAAATAAAAGGGCTAAAGATGAAAGGTAAAATGTTAATTTCTGAAAGTATTTTTACTTTGAAAAGCTCAAGTTTCCAGGTGCATTCAAGGTTTTACTCTGGGAACTGACAAGTGGATTAATCTGATCTTGAATGAAAAAAAAACCTCGATTGGTTTAGGGTAAACTAAGGGTTCAGTTTCTCCATGTAGACGGATGTTTTTAACAGAATAACTGGGAAGGAGAAAGATCTCCCGCCTGAGACCACAGAGTTTAGTGGCACCGTTAGCGACTGTGGGCACCATGGCTGCTGCTTATTAAGGAGAAGGCAGGAAGATATCCTTCAACCGCACTGCTAAGTTTAGACCAAACTAACAATCTGAGACAGTTTTGGATCCTCTCTGGAAGCTATTTTGGTGAAACCATTTTTGTACCTGACCTCAACTTAATGAATTTCGAGTGCGACTATAAAGAGCTGCAGCTCAGCCTCAAAACAGCAGCTAATTAATAGGCAAATGTCACAAAATGAGTTTATGATACTTAGTTACCTAAACCGGTTCTGATGGAAACGATGAGGCTCATTGTTATTCTCACGTATAAAACACAAAAATAATTAAAGGTTTTGTTTTTTAGATCTTTAGATCTCCAGATTTTTAATTAACAGATTAAGAGTTTTACTTCTTAGGAACACTAAATGGGAAAAGACTGGGAGAGTTTAACTGGTTGACCATAAAAGCCTTAATCTCTTGAGGTTTGAGGAAACGCTGCAGAAATTACCCGTCCTTAAGAAAGATGTGCTTTCTTATTACCCCCACCGCAGCTAACTGCTCACTCATTGCTTGTGCATACTGAACTAAAATGCTGTTAATTGGTAGCGATTGCGAACGGGGATCTGTTCCTTCTTCCTATTTAAAACCTGGGAAATTAAAAATACATCTCTGTGGATCTAACACTGTTCCTTGGGTAGCATGGCTTCTTCTTTAAGCTTTAAGTCAGGTAACCTACTTCTCTTATTTAATTAAAAGTTTTGCAGGCAAAACTCATTATTGCAGAGTTTGAACTTTGAGGGAATGAGTCGCCTAACCCCGAACATCTCTGAAAACGTAAACATCTGGAGCAAGCAGCTGTGTGCAAACACAATGCCAAGAAGCAGACAATGATTTAACAGATGAAACGGTTGCTGCTCCTCATTATGCAGAGTTTTAAGGACATTTCCAAACTATTAAAATATCATTGTACTGCAGAGACAGAGAGCACTTCCAGGTGGGGAACAGCGGGTTGCTTCCCCAGAGGATTCATTTTAGAAAATAAAAACCTGGCAGTAAACTCAATAGAGACGCTGGAAAAGATGAGATAGGGACATTTATAGGCTAACTTTCACGCTTCTCTTATCAATTAAATTGTAGGAGACAGTTAATATCAACATGATTAATCATGGTATTGTACTTTGCATTGAAAGTGTTGCGTTCAGGGGCGGTGCCAGGAATTTGAGGCCCTACGAAAGACATTGATAAAACTGCTATAAAGATCGACCGAGGGCATAATTTACTTTTTCAATGTAATTTTTACAGTAGAATCTCAATGAATGAAAGTTATCCTCAGACGAAAAAGTTAAATATATATAATAAGTTTAAACTTTACATAAAAAATCATCCTCTCAAAGTTATAAGAGCTTATAACAAAAAATTTTAGATTTATCTATGTACACATGAAAAATAAATAGCTTTTGGATTTTGAAAATATATTCCTATTTTATTTCGCTTTAAATTCAAACAGAGGAGAGATTATTTTTATGCTGGCTTTTTATCCTGATTTATTTTTCATTCATGTTACATATAATAACAATAATGGTCAATATATTCATGCTTTGTTTCGCTGTTTAATCCTGAAAGATCAGGTAGAACACAAAGATAATTTGTTTTAATTCAATTCAATTTAATTCAGTTTATTTCTATGGCGCCAAATTCACAACACGTCATCTCAAGGCACTTTCCAGTTCAACCAGATCATCCAGTCACATTGATTCAAAGTAACTGGAAAACCAGTTGATTGCATCGACTCATTGACTCAAATACAATCCCTCCTACTAAGCATGCTTGTAGCGACAGTGGTGAGGAAAAACTCCCTTTTAACAGGAAGAACCTCCGGCAGAACCAGGCTGAGTGTGAGCGGCCATCTGCTGAGGCCGACTGGGGTTCAAGGAGACAGAAGCGGACATAGAAAAAGAAGCATAGATACAAAAGGTAACTGTAAAAGGCGGCCCCGTCCAGAAAACACACAGCCAGGCAGACGAGCTCTGAGCCAGCTCCCATGTCAGAGGATAAAGAGAGCACATCCAGTTAGTCACAGTCAGAGAAACAGGACTACACTGGGGGTTTTCTTTTTATATTTGAAATATGAAGTGAGTCATTTGTTTTCTTCATCTTTTGGTGTTTTCTGAATGTCAGACGTAAATTGTAAGAAGAAAAAAGGCAGCTTGGCTGCTGTTTTTTTAGTTGAAAGATTAACCTCCACCTTGTTTCCAGTGATCTGGTGTTAGACGTTGCGTTGGACATGAAATTCACAAGAGATATTGGTAAATTTAAACATATTCACACTCACAAAGGAGTTTGCTTCCTGTTAAATACAAAAGAACATTTAAATCCCCCTTGTGTCCTCTAAATAATCTCTAAATAACCAAGCTCCATCGTATAACGGAGATCTGATTGTTTCTTATGTTCCTAACAGAGCATTCTGTTCTTAATCTGCAGGTTCCAAGAATTTCTAAAAGTAGAATGGGAGGCAGATCTTGTAGCTTTCAGGCTCCTCTCCTGTGGAACCAACTACCAGTTTACATCTGAAAGACAAACACCCTGTCTACTTTTAAGGCTTAAAACTTTCCTTTTTTACAAAGCTTATAGTAATGTGGCTCAGGTTATCCTGAGCTATCTGTATAATTATGCTGTTATAGGCTTAGACTGCTGGAGGACATAGGGACCCTTTTTCATCATTCTGCTTCATTCTCTTATTTTCCAATTCTGCAATATTTGTTAGTTAACCACCTAACTTTATGCTTTCTTTGCTTTTTCTCATCATTAGTAGTCTTATGCACACCTCTTCACCTCATTGTTGTTGTTAGTGCATTATATGGTTTTTTAGTTGGCAGTTAGGTTGGTAATTGTAAACAGACTGCTTGAATACACCTCCATGGATTAACATCAACTCTTTGGAGAATTAATTCTCACTTTACTGAGTACTAAATCAACACTGAAAAAGTATCACATTTGATTTTGCTGTGTGGTTAGTAAAAACATGCTGAGATCACAGAGGGTTATTTGGATTTTATTGAGGAAATTAAAATCTGTTGCCATTGTAGCTGCTACTGAGAGGCTGCTAAACCAGATTCTGATGGATTCTGTATGATGACAATAAAGCTTCTGAAGTAAAACTCTACATCTGTAAATTCAATTATGCTATAGGCTGAGAAGTTAAGCAGTAATGAGGAACTATGTGACCTGGATAGCAGAGACAGTTTGTCTTAGCTTTGGACAGCAGCAGCTGTTTGCACAGCCCTCCCATCCTCCCTCAGAAACCTACCAGCTACTGCTGATTGTGTTTTATCTCTGCTATCCTTCATCATCATGGCACTCCAGCTCTCGTTGCTCATGCATCGAACTCTTGAAAAGTTTCATGTTCTGCTCCTGCTCACTCACCTCGGGGTATTGACCCAGACGATGCCGATGTGACAGAAGAAAATACACTCTTTGTCTTTCTGATTCTCACAGGAGCAGCGCTTTTCTCGCCGGTGGGCTGTGTGGGAGGGGGGACCCTCCTCCGCCACAGGGCTCATTACAGACACTGGAAACAAAGAGAGGAAAGAAAGTGACTAAATGGGAAGCAGATAAATATTCAAACTAAATTTTCCATAGATCCATTTTCCGTCACACTTATCCCTAGCTAGGGTCGTGAGGCGTGCTGGTGCCTATCTTCAGTTGTGTATGGGCGAGAGGCGGGGTCCACCCTGGACAGGTCGCCAGTCCATCGCAGGGCAACACAGAGACAAACAGGACCATTCACACACACACACACCTAAGGAGAATTTAGAGAAGCCAATTAACCTAACAGTCATTTTTTTGGACTGTGGGAGGAAGCCGGAGTACCCGGAGAGAACCCACCCACTGCTCCACTGAGCAGCACCAAACTAAATCCTCATATTAGATAATCATTGTTGTTATTATGAAATATATTTCAGAATAAGGAGCTGAAAGTTTGACTTGCATTTATGCATTTCTCAATTTCATTGTCACATTAAATATTTATGTTTCAAGATGACACATATTTCTCTGCAATTTATTTATTTCATGTTCAGCCATTTGGCTTTCCATAGGATGTTTGGGTTAAGGGGAATTTCACATTCCTGTAGTAAAACAGCTGTCAATTGATTGATTTACTTTACTGATCTCACAGTGGAGAAATGTACTCATTACATCAACTCAGCTTAGTGTATGTATATACACTCACTGGCCACTTTATTAGGTACACCTGTCCAACTGCTCGTTAACACTTAATTTCTAAGCAGCCAATCACATGGCGGCAACTCAGTGCATTTAGGCATGTAGACATGGTCAAGACAATCTCCTGCAGTTCAAAGCGAGCATCAGTATGGGGAAGAAAGGTGATTTGAGTGACTTTGAACGTGGCATGATTGTTGGTGCCAGAAGGGCTGGTCTGAGTATTTCAGAAACTGCTGATCTACTGGGATTTTCACGCACAACCATCTCTAGGGTTTACAGAGAATGGTCCGAAAAAGAAAAAACATCCAGTGAGCGGCAGTTCTATGGGCGGAAATGCCTTGTTGATGCCAGAGGTCAGAGGAGAATGGCCAGACTGGTTCGAGCTGATAGAAGGGCAACAGTGACTCAAATAACCACCCGTTACAACCAAGGTGGGCAGAAGAGCATCTCTGAACACACAGTACGTCGAACTTTGAGGCAGATGGGCTACAGCAGCAGAAGACGACACCGGGTGCCACTCCTTTCAGCTAAGAACAGGAAACTGAGGCTACAATTTTCACAAGCTCATTGAAATTGGACAATAGAAGATTGGAAAAACGTTGCCTGGTCTGATGAGTCTCGATTTCTGCTGCGACATTCGGATGGTAGGGTCAGAATTTGGTGTCTACAACATGAAAGCATGGATCCATCCTGCCTTGTATCAACGGTTCAGGCTGGTGGTGGTGGTGTCAGGGTGTGGGGAATATTTTCTTGGCACTCTTTGGGCCCCTTGGTACCAATTGAGCATCGTTGCAACGCCACAGCCTACCTGAGTATTGTTGCTGACCATGTCCATCCCTTTATGACCACAATGTACCCAACTTCTGATGGCTACTTTCAGCAGGATAATGCGCCATGTCATAAAGCTGGAATGTGGTGGGATGTGGTGGAACGGGAGATTCGCATCATGGATGTGCAGCCGACAAATCTGCGGCAACTGTGTGATGCCATCAAGTCAATATGGACCAAACTCCCTGAGGAATGCTTCCAGCACCTTGTTGAATCTATGTCACGAAGAATTGAGGCAGTTCTGAAGGCAAAAGGGGGTCCAACCCGTTACTAGCATGGGGTACCTAATAAAGTGGCCGGTGAGTATATATATATATATATATATATATAAAAAAAAACTGTTTTCTCACCCCTCGTGGGGTGGTATGTGTCATCCTCAAGCTCGGGTCCTCTACCAGAGGCCTGGGAGTTTGAGGGTTCTGCGCAGTATCTTAGCTGTTCCTAGCACTGCGCTCTTCTGGACAGAGACTTCTGATGTTTTACCAGGAATCTGCTGTAGCCACTCTCCCAGTTTGGGGGTCACAGCTCCCAGTGCTCCAATTACCACTGGCACCACTGCTGCTCTTACTTTCCACATCTTTTCTAGCTCCTCTTTCAGCCCTTGGTATTTCTCAAGCTTCTCGTTTTCTTTCTTCTTGATGTTGCTGTTGCTTGGGATTGCCACATCTATCACTACTGCCTTCTTCTGCTGTTTGTCGATCAACACGATGTCTGGTTGGTTAGCCATCACCTGTTTGTCAGTCTGGATCTTGAAGTCCCATAGGATCTTAGCTCGGTCATTCTCAACTACCTTAGGAGGTGTCTTCCATTTTGACCTTGGGACTTCCAGCCCATACTCATGGCAGATGTTCCTGTACACTATGACAGCTACCTGGTTGTGGTGTTCCATGTATGCACTTCCTGCCTGCATTTTACACCCTGCTGTTATGTGCTGTATTGTTTCAGAGGCATCTTTGCACAGTCTGCATCGGGGGTCCTGCCTAGTGTGGTAGACCCTGGCCTCTATTGATCTTGTACTGAGTGCCTGTTCTTGTGCTGCTTAGTGGCCTACCTCAGGCATGAGTGAAACCGCAAATACAAGAGCCATACCGGCTCGGACGTCGCCCGGGTTAACAAGGTCCGCGTCAGTTGCTAGGGAACCAGGGCAACTTGATGACAAATTGGCTACTGGAACAAGACATAGATGGACTAGAGCAGAAAACTTGGTACTGATATATATATATATATGACTGAAGTCCCACTGTGATATAGACTTTATTTGTTAGACTTTCATTTACATTTGATGTGTCTTTGCCAAAAACAATCATATATAATGAATGCATTTATCACCCAATGTAAAAAATTGAAGGATTAAACCCCCTTGTATAGAGACTCTGTGCAGTTGCACAGCCTATACAACAGCTGTTTCTCTTAGCAAACCAAAAAAACGAATTATTCAGTTCAATTTTAGAGTCACAAAAGAACCCATGCATGAAGTATTTTCTTCTATCATTTTTTCAGACCTTATAACTGGCCTCACACGAGACCAAAAATACTACACTGTAACTGTGTGTGTACACCTGAACACACAGCAGCACATAACAACATGCTGGTTTAAACATGAGCATGTTTAAACCAGCACTCTGGGCCAATAAAGCAAAAAGGGCCCACAGATAGGCTTTGATGTTGGGTACAGCACACACCGGAATGTTTGGGCGTCTAAAGAGGGTTTTACACGACTTACACATGGGAGCAAAATAACACCTCTCCTCACCATAAATGGTGGAGGTCTGCTCTTTAGGCTGCTGTGTCCTGGAGAATCAAATATTTGAGGTTTTTATTCATGTAAAGTTACCAAGGAAGCTGTTATTTTGGCCACTGTTGTCCAAAAATCCCTTGGAGGGGAGTTTTTTACACTTTGGCTTTTATTTTTTCAGCAACATTCAATGACTTCTCCTCAATACGGAGTAGAGCAAAGGTAGTTGTTCTGTGTCTCCAGTGAAAACTAACTAGAAATGTGAAAAAGTTTGAGGTTTCGGATATTGTTGGACTGAGAACATGTTCAGATTTATCCAATATCTCCCCAGGAAACACTAGAAAAAACAAGTCCAGCACCCTTAAGACTCAGTATCCATAGTTCCTACAAACAAAGGGCTGAAATCAGCGCTGATTAAATTAAACAGCATCTTTAAGGGAATAACTCTTATGAAACTGAAGCCCAAACATTTCTAAGCAAAGCCAGGTCTGTCTCTAGAGATGTTGTCCGCCTGCTGCCATTACAAAGATTTGTTCTACCCAACTCCAGGCATATCATACAGTGCTATTTTTGTTTTGGAACATGAGATCAAGTTGAATAAATTCAGAATTTCAAAATGACATCCACCTCATTTTGGGAAATTTTCGCCTATTTTGCATACCCAAATGGAAAAGCAAATAACGTAGGAACTGTAAGCCCAAATTACAAGTGTGATACACTGTTTGAAAGCTAACTGTTCTGAATATATACATGAAAATTGGGTGAGTAAAACACAGCTCAAGCTTTATCAGCTCAAACATGACTCAAAGTTGTTGTTTCTTTTAAATTCTCGAAAATGACAGTTCTTTTTTGAACATCAATTATAAAGACATGCTTGCTTGTGGTTAATTGTGCTGTGGTGCACACTGTGTCCATGAAATTAACTTGGTGGTTGAATTGTGGAAAATCTAAGCTTTCCAACGATGTCTAACATGTCTATATTGGTAAATATTTTACCGGTGTAATTTTCATGCGTTCTGAGTTATTAGTTTTAAAAGCTTCGCCGGCAACCCTGTGGGTTTTGAAAGGTTAAACTCCAGCCGAGATGCAAAAATGTAGCCTCGTGAGACCATCCTGATCTCGTGAGCTTTCAAGATTTCACTCGCTAATCAGTCTGGAGACTCTCCGTTAAAGAAAATTCGGAGCCGTTCACCAAACGAACGTCCAATCAGCGTTGGCTTTGAGGCGGGTTGAGGTGTGACGCAACGAGAAGCGCGACAGTTCAGTCTAAAGAAGATGGCGGCTTCAGCCGATGAAACTAGTGTTAGCGTGGCTATCGAGCAAGTTTTATCGGAATTACAGAGTATTTCTTCACTGAAAGAAGAGCAAAACACTGCTCTGGAGGCTTTTCTCAGAGGAAAAGATGTTTTTGCTCTTCTCCCGACTGGTTTCGGCAAGAGTTTGATCTATCAATTGGCTCCTCTTCGTCGTCGCTCTGTTAGTACGTCATATGCTTCGTTGATCTCAGCTAACCAGTATTTTCGCCCCTTCCCAAAATTACTTCAACGGAAGTCAGGTTAGCAAAAATGTCCATCCAAGCAAAAACAGATGACAGAAGTTTGGTTGCTTGAGGGCTCAAACCCTAAAACTAAAATCCGATTTAAGGATTGTTTGTCCACATGTGAGGGTTCGGATTAGGAAAAGCTGCAGATTAGAAAGATTTAAGCATGGCATGAGGAAATAACAAGACAAGAAGCACAGATTAAGACCAGGGCGGAGAAATGGAAGACAGTACTACGGAA